TATTTTTTATTTATTTATTTATTTTTTTTTTTACCACCCCTCCCCCTTAAATCCACCCCTGCTATTTAAAATCAAAATATTAAAATTGATCTAAATTTGATTTAAATGTATTAAATATAATGTACATTGTAGTCGATCTATAGCAAAAATTATAAGGGCCTGTTATTGCGAAATCCGTGGCTCGCTTTAATTAGAATGAATTAAGTTACATAGTTAGGTAACACAAACTGGCGTTAAAACAAACCCATGAAAACTTTAATAAATACTTTTTATCTAAAGTTTCGAAATTCGCCTCTGAATGTTATTGTCGCAGTACTTAAAGTAATAAATCAATGTTGCTATAGTATCAGAATTATCTTCTTCATTCTCATATGCAACCCGAACTCCAGAGTAACTTCGAAGAAGTCTCTGCAAAACTTGCTTGAAATTGGAGGTGCTATCGGACCCGAATTATCACATCGAGCATATATGGCGCTCTACATAAAGAACACTGCGGTACCTAGGGTTATACAATTCAAGTGGGCAATAATAAATTAATTAAAGTACAGTATTTAATTTATATTCAAAAGAAATTCAAAAGCGATAGAACCTCCACTAGTAAGATGGAACATACAAAGACACACAATATGGTACAAACTTGCAATGAACTGTCTTCATAAAGCTTAAACGAGGATAAACCTTATAAACAATATACGGTATTTCATCCGAACAATTTAATTTATTAAATGTAACTGTTATCTTTTAAATAAACTCTCTTACGTCAAATCGGCTGAATCGGGGAACATAGATTAAGTTTTAGTGCAAGTACAAATAAAGGTACAAGATTAGAATAAAAAATATAGAATTTAAGCTAACAAAAACAAAATATCCAAAACAAGTCTACGTTATATTAGACCTATATTGAAAAAAATGTAAACTTTTCAAAAATTCGGCCAAATATAGTTTGGCCGTGACTTTCCAAATGCTACGGCCAGGCAAATTTGTATACGGCCAGATTTGAGGAATCTGGCCGTCAAAAAGGCCAAATGGCAACCCTGGTTTTTCCATGAGTTTTATTAGTTCCTTCCTTTGTGACCTTAGGTCACATGGAACAAGGTAATGGTTCACATGTAAAATGTGTGTATAAGATGTGAAACCAAAAGAGGTCAGCATATTTGTAAACAAATAGGCTCCGAAACGGTGCATAGTGGCAGGTATACATTGTGCTCGATAGTTGCTGGTGGACATGCAATTGTGCAAGAAATGTTTGTTTTTTCGGTTAGATGAAAAATGCAGGCTGTAGGCGATAAAACATATACCCCCTGCCACCAGTTTTGAGTCTTTTTTTTAGTCGAAAATTTGATTTGCGCATGCGTCGGGTCAAACTTTCCCGACATTTTGTTTCTGTCGCGAGCTGCCTAGAAAAGTTCTTTATGTTGTTTTCGCGACTGTCAGTAAACATTGAGCAAACTGAGATAGTTGTGGCATATCGGCCACTTACTTTTGTTATTATTTGAAGGTGTTCTGTGTGTTCTATTAGTGTTTTAGTATACTTTAACGGCTAAGATTGACGGACCTGGTGTACCTAGGCCTAGCCTAGACACATACGTAATGTAGGCTTCTCTTTGGGCGACACCGTCGGACCTGGTGTAGGCCTAGACACATCTGATATACTGTACTATACCATTACGTAAAGTAGGTTTCTTGGCCTACCACCAGCCTGCCGTCAAGCAATAAAAATCAACATTTGTGGAATTATTTTCCAAGAAATGATGGTTAAAAATTCTGGACACATAAATATCATATTTAATATGCAGCATGTGATGGACGGACGAACCTAGGGTTGGCGGGGGCAGCATGTGATGGACGGACGAACCTAAGGGTTGGCTGGGGAGGGGGGAGACGGGAGTTCATCAAATGATGTTTGGGAAAATAATGGTCAGAAAATACAGCATCTGATGGACAGTCCCGGGTAGGGGAGAACCTTAAAATTATGGACACATAAATTTACAGCATAGCTTCATCAAATGATGTTTGGGGAAATAATGGTTAGAAAATACAGCATCTGATGGACAGTCCCGGGTGGGGGAGAACCTTAAAATTATGGACACATAAATTTACAGCATGTGATGGACTGCGTGTCCGGACAATTATCCCCTGGAAAATCACCCCCCCCCCCACCCGGCCCCGGGAATTGCCATACTCACCAAGGACAATTGCAATTAATTTTCCGGGGGTAATTGTCCTAGTACCGATGGACTGACCGTCTATACACTACAGCATGTGATGGAGGCATGTATCTGATGGACAGTCCCAGGTGGGGGAGAACCTTAAAATTATGGACACATAAATTTACAGCATGTGATGGACTTACCATCTATACACATATACAGCATGTGATGGAGGCATGTGATAGACGGACGAACGTATGCCTTTCTTCAATTAATTTCCAGTAAAATAATTATTACAACTTCAACAAAACTCGTGTTTTTATTGCATAAATTAATTTCACAAGCATTTATTCTGAAATATAGCGGTATCAATATTCTTTCTATAACGGTACAAGCCACCGGGAACCAGACGTCGAACAGAAAGTTTCAACAGCCCGTGTGTGTTTTGTTGCGACATCATAAATGAAGCTGCTCACGTGACCTCTAGGACGACACTCCCGAAAAGAAGTTTATTTATTGTTTTGAGCGAAGCGGTTTGGAATTAAACTTGTTTAAAAAATTGTTTGAGTGAACGTAACTATGAAAATAATTATTTAAACAACCCAAACCATTGCTTGATTGTCGTAGAAAATGTAGTAGGACAGTACAGCACTGTATAGGCCTAGTGAGTATAATTACCAGCGTGACCACTGCTTGGGTATTTACCCAATATCTTGGGTATTTTGACTTGGTCTTGGGTATTCCGTTCAAATCCTTGGGTATTTTATTTTTACTAAGAAAATTAAATATTTTTATAGAAGAAAAATTAAGAAGTAACAAAGTATATTTCAGTCCATTCAAGTAAGTAAAACTCAACGAAGTGCACATACATTCTTAATTGACTGTTAATTGCTATAAACATATGTTCAGAATTGTTTATTTGTGATTTGGGTATATCAAAAATTGTGAGTGGTCAAGCTGATAATTACACTAGCCCTTCAAAACCTAGGCTAATTAATTGGGCTAGAGTAGGAGCATGGGCCCAAGCTTGACAGACGGCCCCTGATTTTCGCTGCGGTACGCGATCTGAACTTTTTGGGAGTAGGTTAACGACCGGTGTATAGGCCGCACCCCAAACTTCGAGGGGAAAATCGCGTATAAAATTTGCGGCTAATAATTTGAGCAAAAACTTGTGTTCCTTCATAATTTTGGGGGGGGGGGGGCGGGAGAATTTGTATGAGGCTGGGCGGAAGGCCTTAACTTAATAATAGCTTTAGGATGGGCGCAAGAAGTCAAAAGTGGGCACACCTCCGCTCTGCATAACAACATCCTGCACTTCTCAGAACCCCTTACCCCCCCTTACCTTTCATAAATTTCTGGATCCGCCTCTAAATTTTTTGACTGAAAATGAAAATAATGTATTTCCTTACACAATCATTATTCAAAAAGATACAATAAGTTATTGCAATTCCCAAATGTACATTGATTTTTTACGTACAAAGGAACGTACGCACCCGCAGGGTTCTGGTCTTTCATGTGACCGGACATTTATTTACATTATGGCGTCTCTTAATCTTCAGAAAGATGGCACTCACAGATTGTTGTGTAATTCATACAAAAGCTGATCAAGGCAATATTTAACTAAAATGTAAAATGCAAACTATAATGATAATGTTCACCTGTAAATTTTAACTGAACGTGGTACAGTATCTGAAAGTCTAACCTGTGACCTAATAACTACAGGCCCCTGGTGTTCAAACTTTTTTTAATATGGTAACCATATAATTATTTTAAACAACATGGACATAGTGTCACTAAAATAATAAGATTAACATTTTCCAAACTTATATCAGTTTTATATAAATGGAGTTATGTTTAGATTATAGGCTATTATAGCTAACGACACGTACCCTTTCTCCATTCAAGACTTTTTCTAAGATTGAAATGATCTGATAGAAGCACGGACTCCTGACCGAGTACTATTACGATTTTGTTCTGGAAATTTACTCATAATCAATTAAGTGTTATCCAAACCTTACTGAACTGCATGGACAATGTGATAACAACAGAAGAAAATAAGATCGCTGAAGAGGAACACTTTAAGAAAGCATTGGAAAAATGTGTGTATCCAGATTATAGATTGAGTGAAAAAAGACAAAGAACTTATGAAACAAAATGGTAAACACCAAGGAAAAAAGTAAACAGAAATCAAAAGTAACAGTATTCCATACATACAGGGTGTCACAGAGAATATCAAACATATCTACCAGAATCATCAGACCTCACACCAAAATTAGAAGTCTTTTAGTATATGCCTACCTAAAGACAAGATTAGCCTTGACAAATTTCAGGATGAGTATCCAATGCCACAACTGTAAAAAATCTTATAAATGGTAAGATGGATGAAGAAATATAATATGGAGCATGTCCATAAGGGAAGGTGCCGGTCCCTCTTAATCTCAATCCAACCAATGGAAAGCAACTGGACCAAAATGTCGAAACTTGGTGGTTGTTTGGAACAAGAAAACATGATCACAAAGAAGAAACTATCAAAATGAGCAAGAAAAGGTTTACCAGAGCCATGAGTATAGAATCTGAATCCACACAAAATGAAATCTTCAGTCGCAGAACATGCTATCTACCCTAAATCATTTGACTGGGATGCAGCGAAATTGCTTGCAAAAGAAAACACAAAGCATGGATCAGAGAATCGATTTGGATATTTTAAAAGAAAAGGGGGAAACAACAGCAAAGAAATGGTAATGAACGCAGATGAGAGGGCATACCTAGGCACATTATCGTTTTAATGTCATAAGAAACCACCTTTGGAATGCGTGTATCTGATGACATATATTATAACTTTAATGATTTCCTATAGGTTTTTTTTAATAATGCAGTTTTATAATGTTTAGTTTGCAAACGAAACATCCAGGGGTCTGCTCTGTAATTGGCAATTCATTAGCATTTAGCTCCTGTGATTGTGACTAACACTTTAAAGATTGGAAATTTAGGTAATTGATCTCCTTTGTTCCGCAGACTGGAGTCAGTTACCAAACCAAAATCCTGTAAGACACTGGCCGATGTTACCACAGTTAACCTGACCATGTTGGAGGTAAGTAAGGACAAAACATATAAAACATTTTGTGTTGGCCACGTTTTGGGAAAATCCAAAAAATGGGTAGGTCTTCATGAAAACTTTATTTTTTACAACCAAATATGTGTTTACGCCTAAAAAGTAGAAAATACACAAATAATAAAATTTTGGATTCGCATTGTGTACCAGCTAAATAGGCTGGTCTTGGCCCCCTAGCCTCGCCAAGGCTACTCCCGCCTTATTTGCTCATAACAAAATATTGTTCGGTAACTATAGCTAAAATGCCGACTCTTAATTTCGTAAAATTTGAGTCGGTCGGGCATGGCCAACACAATAATTTTTTTTGTTTGGCCTAAATACTAGTTATGAATGCCTAGTAGGACGGGTGTCAGCTAAATCGTACCCACGCCAACTTCTACCTATACCAACCAAGTTGCACCCACACGAGTCGTGGGTATGTGTATAAGCCTGTATTCAGTGATACTTTTTCAAGTTTGGAAACATCAAACTTTTTTTTTTTTTTTTGTAGAGAACGGTCATTGACCGCCACTGTACTTTAACTTTAAAGGCAACATAAAACTCACCAAATGAAAGAAGATAAAATTCTAAAGATATAAACAAATAGAAGAAAACAAGTGATCAAACAAAATCTTGTCTCTCTATCTATTTTGAAAGACATGCTCTATTTCCATCAGACAAGGGTGATCAAACATTACACCACCCGCTCCCAAAGTTGTAGAAATCAGGACGTATTAAGCAGGGGTTTCCTGGAAACTGATGCATTTCTTGCAAATTTATAATGTTTGCAATTTTTAATATTGTACTATTGCCACCCTGAAGTTGGTTGGCCATGGGTATCAATCACCACATGCAGCACAATACAATTAGAAGCATGAATATTCATTAAACCAGATCTCTAGATAACGCCTTCTCAACTTGGTACCCCTGGATTTACACTGTTCCCCCTTTCTTGAAAAAAGATCACCATGCAAATTAGATACTCTGAAGTTGTTATAATTAACCTCATCATCATATCCCTAGCTAGAATTCCCTAATTTTATATTCCCCCATGCCCCACAAAGTATGTACCCCCATGTTAATACTTAAGTCCTGTCCAGACTCAAATATTATATGCCAGAAACATGTGACATGGCTAAATATGGTCATGATGATATCATGACCATATGTGGCTGTTGTTTTCGAAATTTTTAATGTTAAAACATTTGTAATGATTTGGTGACGGTTTCTGCCTGAGAAATGCCTGAAATCATAAACTGTGAAGGCTAATTTCTCAAACATTGTTTTTTTAACAGCTGTGTGTTTAAACTTTATAACGAAATGTCGGATTCAAATGATTTTTTTTATAGCTCTCATTTTACTGTATAGCCCTGTATTAATAACTAAAAATAGATTTTTGCAACGAGTGACTGGTTTGGCTTGTCTTTGTCACATATGTAGACACATCATGACTATGTATGGGCATGCAAGCGTTTTGGCCAGAGCTTTAAATAAAGGCCCTGCATGTTGTAGGTTAGATAACCCACTGCTTTATGTAAGTGTAACAAATTATTGCACTCTTCATTTTACAGGGCGGAGTCGCTCAAAGTGTTGTACCACAGGATTTCACAGCAACCTTTGACATCCGTATCCCACCCACTGTCAATCTACAGGTAGGTACAAGTTGCTATCAGTTATCAAGATCAATATTCCATAGATACAGATGCTAGGACACTTCAAACACTATTGCCCCTTCAGCTGAATTTACATCAGATGCCAAACGATATAAGCCTCTTCGTAGTTTAAACTGTGCATGCCCGTACCAAAATCAATAAACATAAACAGCATGTCTGTGTTTAATGTTTATGTTAATTGACCTTTGATTTGGGCATGCGCAGTTCAAACTACAAAATGGCATTATTCTGACAGCATCTCTATTCTGACATACTAGGCTCTTTGTATTTTTTGATTGATTCAGTAGGCATTCTGATCCAAAAATTCGGATTCAGTGTAGATGCACCTTTAATTTTATACACTGATTATGCATGAAATACCAATTGATGTTAATTATTTATCATTATAACATTTTATCAGCAGTAGTATTATTAACAAATATGTTAGTTGAAATCTTTCATATTGTTTTCTTGTCAGATCTAATAACAAAGTATAAACAAGGTTTCCTCTGATTACCGACACCGACTCCACTCCTCTTTCTACCCAGATTGTTTCTAGATGCAAGAGGAAGGCTGTTGATTGCCCTTTTCCTATTGCTGCCCCACGTATCTGGAATGAGCTTCCTGCAGAGATCTTATAAACACAAGATAGCGCTCTTTGCGATTCTACGCGTAATAAATAGAAGCTTCGATGCTCAGTAAAAAGAAGAAACATAAAAATTAATCCCTTTTGAGAGAGAGCAACCTACTTGTTACCATGGCTGTTGTAGAATTTGTACGCAGATGCCCTATTTTATTTAACGATCTTCGATGTCAAAGTTGAAATGTAATCACTTTAGCAAGAGGGCACCGTACACTGCGTTATTACAAAATTTGCATGTGGAAATCGCGGAGAACTCTATCTTGTAATTATATGATCTTTAGCTTCTTGTTAAAATGAGAGAGGTGGCGTCGGTGCCTCTTTTCATGTCTCTAAAAAACGTTTCTTTTTCACTTGAAAAGAAGTGAAAACTTTTTTTGTTGTTACACGTTTTTCCCTTGATTTGGTTTCCACAACGCTGCATTGTTAGGTGCTGTGTTCTTTGTACAGTTCCAGGTAAATCCAGGGGCCGATTTAGAGGGCCCCCCCCCCCCCCCCCCCCCCCCCTCCGACCCCCCCCCCCCCCCATTTTGGAAAGTTAAAAAAAAAATAGGAAGGAAAAAGAAATAATTTATCGCCCCAAAACCCCTATATAATGAGGTTATTTTCGGGTCTCTAGAAAACGTGGGAAGCCCCTGGACCCTATACAGCAGTGTTGTCTCGATCAGCCCCATTTTCGGCCCCCCCTTTCGAACATCTCTGGATCAGCCCATGAATGCTTTAACACTCTGGTTGCCAGGGGTTTGTAAAATAGTATCAGCCACCGCCAGACTTTTCAGTAAATGTTAACACTTTTCCGAATCTTGCTGAGGGTGTGTATGTGATCAGATTGACATGTAAAAATAGTACAAGAAAGTTCTACAAAGATCTAAGCTTTACAATGTGACCTGTAGCGTTACAATAAAATGTCTCACTTTTGGAGATTTACGCAATTTCACACAACGAAGCTGAGATAATCGCAATTTTGTGAAAGGACATCAAAACCACTACGCTCAATGTAAACAAACACTGACAGCCAAAAGAGACATCAACCAACACTACCATACATGGCATCGCTAGGCTAGTCTAGGCCTAGTTAAAAAAAAATCACTATCTATCAATGATTTATTACATTTTGTAAATCATAAAGTATACATCTTACATCATCTGATGATATACTTTCGCCAGAATCTGCACAAATTTCACCGAATGCCTCAGTGGCACTCATCATACGACGCGCCGTCAGAGCCAGCTGTGGCACGAATTCAATCTTTTTTTTTTAAAATCAGATTGGATACTTTCAAATAGTGAAATACTTACGGTTCAAATTTTTAGTAAATGTCGGTAATTACCTTATCTATCGGATTCCGTAAAAAAACCTGAAACATGGAGATCTCTGTGTTTGACGGTCAAGCATTGCGCTACCAAAAACAGAGATCTCCGAGTGTTAATAATAATAATACTCATGGTAAAATACATTCTTACATTATTTTCAAATCCATGTATTGACCAAAGTTCAATAAAAATAGATCTATGTCTATTTTTTTTTTAGTGAGAAATTTGTATGTTTTGTATGTAAATGTTTGCGTTTATTTGATGCATTTTGCGTGTAATGTTTTGTTTATATTTTTATAGGAATTTGAAGACAAGATCAACAATTGGGTAAAAGAAGCCGGGGAGGGCGTACGCATTGAGTATCAAAATGTAAGACAATAATAACGATATAGATGATGTCTTATAAATTTACATACATACTGGTATAAAATGTTTAGACTTCATGTAGTGGTTCCTAGAGGGAAAAAAAATGTGACACACCACTGTATGGGAGAAATATTGGAAAAAAATATATATATAAAGGACCTTTCCGGAGCGTCAAACTTACCAACCGTCCAATCAAAACAGGGCCAGAGAAATGTGCGTGTCTCATGAACACACATGTTATCCTACAAACGCGTTTGTTTTGCATATGTTTTTACACTTTCGTTTTTTGTGGGATCTTAGCAACACTGTCCAAGGGGGTCGGGGGTTAGGGGAATTACCTGTTCTGACTATCAAATTTTATTTCACACAAACATGTGACATTAAAATATGATGACATCGCATCATGACCATATTATGTGGGCACATCATAACTATATAATATGGGCAGAAAAGAGTTCTTTTGTATAAAGAGAACATTGTATGTTTATAATTCAATACACCAAGCCAATGTGTTTGTGATGACTAAGTTAAGAGATTTTTAATCATTTTGTGTAGAAAAATATGTGTCAAGAAGTGACATCTGTAGATAAGGAAAGCCCATGGTGGTGTGCCTTCAGCAATGCGTGTGATGAAATGTAAGTTAAATATTTATCTTTTTATTTTCAGTGTAATTTTTTTTTCCATATTTACCCTACATACTAACACTAATCATTACATTTTTTCACATTAAAAAAAAAATTTGCATGATTTTTTTCGTCAGAGATCTACATAAACCTTACAAAAATATATATATATATATAATTATATTTTTTATTTGATTGTATTTATTTGGGGTTTGATCCTTGGTGATAGCTGTCATGAAAATACAGCCTATTTGTGTTTTTTCATGATGCAGGTCTCCAATTAAAAACCTCTTCTGCAGGCCCAGGGATTCCATAGTCTTTAGCAACTTTGGTCTCTAAATAGAATAATAAAGATAAAAACATCTTGTTAAAGCTCGGATTCCATAGAATGGCTCATCCTATCAGCGATAGTCGCCGACAGTTGTGAGGAAGGTTCAACCTTGTTTAACTTTGCCGATTGCGTTGCAAACAAATCAGGGTGCATTGCTAGCTGCCCTGACGTAATCGGAAAGGCACACCGATTCATTTGCAACGTTATTCGTCAAAGTTGAACCAGGTTCAACCTTCCCAACAACTGTCGGCAACTGTTGCCGATATAGTAAGCGACTCTATGGAAACCGAGCTTAATATGGGACCACCAAAAAAGTCTCAATTAATTGAAGGTGGTCTTTAATTGGAGAGAGTTGTATTTTGCACCATTACAAACCATCTTTAGTTTCATGTTTTTTTTTTTCTTTATTATTATTTTCTTTAAAGGAAAATGAAGATTGAAACAGAGATTTTCCCTGCTGCTACTGACAGTCGTTACTTACGTGCCGCTGGGTATCCTTGTCTTGGCTTCTCCCCGATGAACAACACCCCAATCCTTCTTCATGATCATAATGAATTTGTAAATGAAGAGGTTTTCTTGAAAGGAATCGACATTTACGAGAATTTGATATCCAAACTGGCAAATGTGGCACCATTGAAGGATGAGAGAAACTGAAGCCTACTTATTTGCAAATACAGTATATAAAATCCTGTCTCTTATACACATCTAGATGTGTATAAGAGACAGATATAAAGATATATATAAAATCTGAAATATATAAAGATAAAGGTATCAATCATAGCTCTTCAAAATTTCCTTATCACTTGCATGAAAAACTGACTCGCGTAAATATAGAACCTATGGTTTAAATTTTGTTTAGGTAGGAGCTTATACCATGGTGAGAGTGATTTTTGACTGGACTATTACATTTCTTTTCAATTATTTGAATCATTTAAAATAGCCAGTACTATGCACTACAAAATGTGTTACATTACTGACCTGATTGTTACACAGATTTTTGTATTTTTCTAATTGCATGGTGGGTACACCCATGGAGGAATGAAATGCCTTCATGGTATACCGTATACCGGAATTTGTAAACTAATTTCTCTATGACCATTCTAACTTAAGTTTGTTTATCTCCAGTCATACGCGGCACCCCATCAAATGAGGTACCACGTACGGCTGAAGGTGACCAAATTGTCATAATTGGAAAGAGATTGGCGCCTCGTACACCTGGAGAGAGCTGCTTAAAAGATGTGACAATACAATTCATTTTATCTATGCGAGAGTTCTATATTGTGTTTCTACTACAGTAAGTGAAGAGGCGTTCTAGCTGCTACCATCTTCAATTTCTTCTTGTTCGTATACTAAACCGCAGAATTGAGTAAAATTCGAAAGTGACAATGAATTTCTACATTACTGTATTAACATAATGTGTGTTAAAATAAAGAAGACGACATAGTTAAATGTATACAGAACTATATTTTTTAATACGTTTAAATTTATTAGTCATGAATCCGTGATTTGAATAATAAAATGCAATCTGTTGTATATCATCATTACATGTTTCTCTTTAAGTACTGGTATGTGATCAGAAACCGATAGAGAGTTGCCTCTCTTGCCTGTGTTTATGTACCATCATTATCAAACTATATAAATAGTGCTCAGATCTAAAATCACGTTTTCATGGGGTGCGTGCTTTCTTATAGTTGCGATAAAATAGACGCATTCAGAACAAAGGCCTAAGACATATTTTGAACCCACTTTTGAACTTTTAAGATCTATTTTTATTATTATTATTTAATAATCATACATACATTTATTTGTTCGTTTGTCTACTTAATTTATTATTACAAATTTGAATTTAATTAATATTATTTTTTTTTATCCATCATACTGGAAATGTGAGTAACATGGCCACATATTTAACATGAACATTAAATGGCATCCTCAGTTGCATAAACAAATTAGGAATTATATAAAATATGGCAAATATGCTAAAAAGAATTAGGGAAGAAAAAGTACATTTGAGAGAAGTAAACGAATAGCAAAACTTACTATATATTTTTCAGCTTAGAGTGTTTACACACGCATTTTGCAGCCATATTCATTTTACAACTGGTCTACGAAACTCATTTTAAACGATTATGTTGCATTCATTCTTAATGCACACGCGGCAGTTAAGACATATTTTCTACAGCAGTGAATCGAGCATGGTAAAGCATGAATCTATGTTATAAAATACCTCAAGGGTCAGACACTCTAAATCCCAATTTTGTTTTGGCCTGCGTTGTGTTGTGGCCGACGAAAATAAATTAGGAGGCCTACCATCCCCCTGCTGGTCCGACGACAAAAATCTTTTATTATAAAGTTAATCTAAGCATAAAGCGGTATAAAAGCAATATTTTTTTTTTCAGTCACATTGAAAATGTAAATTTTTCACTATAGGTTTCCTTGCGACCCTCAGTGTTAAATGGAAAATTCGTTTTAGCACTCCGACCAATTGTGTGCCCACCCCTGCTGTAAATGTACATAGTTATGTTTTAAGAAAGTTTGTCTGCCTCTGTTTTTCCATCTTCTTGTTGAGTTTCTCACAGTCTAAGGTCTTGCTTTGTGACCGTACTGGTCTCTGTAAAATCTGTATAATGCAGTCAAACCTCCGAAGTTTGAGAAACTAAGCAGAGTGACTGAAGATTAAACTAAACAGCCTGGCTAACTTTCCAATTTAGAGAAAATAAAACATGAGACAAATGCTTAAACTTAAGTTTGTTTTTAATTGTTAATAATTTAAGATTTTTCTAATATTGCAAATGTAATTTTGATCTTTGCAATCTTGCTGTTTTGCTAATTCTAAAAAATGTATTGTACCCTGCTAAATGCCAAAAAAATCATAAAAATATTTTTTTTTTAAATTAACTCTTGCCCATTTTGAAGTAACATAAAAGTTATCAACTTGAACATAGAAATTAGTTTATTTAAAAAAAATGTCTACCCATCAGTTTACAGCGAAAAATGATAGAAACACTTCCAATCACTGGATGTGTTTTATTATTTTTATTATAATTGTTTGGTTTAAAAATCAAGGTACACATTTTTTTTAATTCAATATTTTTTATGCCCAAGTTAATAATCTGTATGCTATTGCAATATGAGCAAGTTCATTTCAAAATTATTTTTTTTATATTTTGACATTAGCAAGGGACAATACATCTTTAAGCACCTTTCGAGTTGTGTTTTCTCATTAGAACTTTAAAGGAAGTCCAAATAGGTGTTGTTCCAACGTGTCGTAAACAGTTTTGCTGGGTATAATACTGCTACATACAAGTACTCTAATCTTTTTGACTGATTATGGTACTTGGCTGTGTCGTCCTTCTGAAAATCGTCAATACTTCAATCAATAGCCCTTGTGTCGGTTCCCCATTGTTACTATTGAACATACTGTTCAGTCAAATCGATTAGTTGCAGTACAGATATATCTCCAACAATTACGTTACTCTCTTTTTTTTTCATCCCACTTTTCAAAATGATTGACGTGTTGCAGGCTTAAATTCAATTTACTGTACTGTATTTTTAAATCTTTTAAATCTGTAGTTTCTCTCATGGTATGTTCAAATGATGTTTTGTTCGTTGAGGAAACATTCAACAATAATTTCACAACTGTTATATATGAACAATGAGGATAAATATACAGTAATAACTGCAAAAACCTACAATTATAAGACATTTACGACTGCAAAAAAAATATTATCGAAGTGGAATTATAATATAATATAATTACAGATACAAAACTTATTTTAGCATGATAACATTGTTTTCGGAAAACGTCTTTTATCATCTGCAAAGCAAAAAGTAGAAACAATATGCTAGCGCTATAGGCTTCTCTTAGTTAGTAGATCAACTATTTAGCTTTTCGTTAAGGCGCTTAAGTAATTAGAAGATCGTAGGTCTACTGTTTGTTTTGACTCAATACAGGTAACTATTGGTAACATCTTTTCGTATTCTAGTGGATACTAAAGGGATTAAACTAAACTCATTGGGATTGTTCGATTATAATAATTATTTCGTAGACTAAGCAAGTTGACGTCTAGTTACATTACTTTACAGCACAATTTCTTACATATTGCGAAAAAAAAGTACCAGAATAAATTTAAACATTAATATATTAACCTTAATTATGATAATTCTTAAACGCACTGTATTCAAATTTATTAATTCCTATTATGTAATTTAAACTTTTTGATTAATGAATTACAAAAATGGAATAATCCACATCGATATTCTGCGTAGTTACGGCGCCACATCCGTATCAACGCCAAGCGACTGTGACTGCAACATTCACCACTCCTGCAGCATATTGAGCAATTTGTGCTATATTTTCTATTAAGAAGAAAACAAAAAGAAGAAATAACCAAGATGGATCCAGCTCCAATTGACATGATCAACCGTGACCCAAACAGCATCAATTCTCACGTTCAAGTAAGCATGTTATCTTTTCTTGAGTTACTAAAAAAAAATGTTAGAAATTTGATCAAACATGATGTTTATAAGAAACCACTGTATAGCGCCTTACAGGTAATTATTTCTATAGTGGTAGTATAATTTGTACTCTATTAGGGCCTATATTTCAATTTACAAATTAGTAATAGTAGTAATAATAACCGGCAATAACTCGGAAACTATTAATGTAATTTTCTGAAACAAGCTTTGATGCACCCAGTGCTACAGCGGTACCTTCCTTCAGTTACGACCCTAGGTGAAAATGTATCCGACGTTAACGGAAACTTGTATTTCAATATTTCATTTCATTTCATTTCATTTTATTTCACTTGTAATTTGCAACTTAACTTAACTACTACAAGTGCCGAGGACCAAGGAGGCCGTAGGCCTGTAATTAAGGTCCCCGGACTAATCTAATGACCTAACTAATAACAATAAATTAAAAGGATTAAATAATCGAAAAAAAAAAAAATAGGTAAAATATTCTCTGTAAGTTGCCGATGTCTACAGATTCATCTCAAATTATTAACCACAAAAACTACCAGTTTATGGGTCTTGCCCTTTTTAATAAAACAGTGCTTGAAGTCGGGATCCAAAGGAAAACATTTTCTGATATTATGAACAATTGATTTTTCTAATAGGCCTACATAAAAGGTGTGTTTGAAGAAAAACTCGAAATGTTATTAAGATACAGATTTTCGAATGTTTAATCTGAGGGATAACAGCCTTAAACACCCTTTCCCACCTTTTGCTCCAGTTCTTGAATATTCAAAAATTCTCTCATCATTAACCGTTCCCATATTAAAACATTTTCCTTAGGAGCCTGGCTTCAAACTTAAATCTGTTAAAGTCATAGTGCCTAAAATTAAGTAAATTTTAGGTAGTAAATTTCTTGAAATTACGATTGACAATAAAATAAAATTACTAATGTAAATTTAATACAATTAAACCTTGTTAAAATAGATATTCGATTTTAAAAACAATTATTTAGAACAATTTTGAGGGTGACAATTATATAATTTAATGATGCCTTCAAATTTTTTATTTTATTATAAAATATATTTTTGTTGTTATTCCTGTTTTAAAAATTATGTCATTTCGTCTTTTTCAGGTTGGATTTGAAGATGTGTTGGCCGAGCCCGATGGTGTCCACAGTCCAGAATGTGTGTGGAAGCTGGCCAACAAATGTTTCACTTGTTCAAGAGACATCGCCTACACTCTATTCGCACTCTGCTACGGGGTACCTTACGCTTTCTTCTGGGGCTGCGAGTTCGCCTACCTTTCGTTCGCTCATATCTGGATCATCACTCCTGCCATCAGTATGTACATGGTGTGGCTGAAATCTATCAAGATCATCTATGGAGCATGCGTGAGGACCTGCTGCGACCCGTGCTTCGAGTCGTGTGGAAGATGCCTGAGTGACATAAGAGTTACGAAAGCCTGAAAGTCACTTAAGTAAATATAATTCACTCTCTGGCTACAGACCTAGAGTTGGCCGCTGTTTGTTCATTAGCAGAAGACATAAGAAAAACTCTTTAAAAAACGGACTATATGTATATAATAATGGTAAAATTATAAATTTTAAGAATTAGACAAGGTTAGTTTGCTGTTGATATTATTAATGATTTTGTACCTTGTTAAAAATTGGCGGAATTGAAACTTGCATCTTTGAAACCAGTTGGTTGTTTGGATTTATTTAAATACTTACAGTTTGGTGTAAGTATTTATTTAAATACTTACACCAAACTGTAAATTGTCAAAGCTAGAATTGAAGACAAAACAAATCTTCTGATTCAACCTTTAAAATGACAATATGTAAATGTATCAAGTATTTAATTCAGTACCGGTAATACTTTTTTTTAATTAAGAAAAAAATGTCGCAATACAACTAATGCAAATGAACAATTAGTTAATGATTAAATATTATAAGACGATGATTAGCGATTTCACCGTCCAGTAAATTATGATACGACACTCCAGTTTAAGTCAGTTTGTTATCGGGCTTACACAAATGATAGAAACAAGCTTAATACCATGCAAATGAATTGAGTATATTTGTACGAAATAAAGATTTGTTTAATATTATACGTGTTAGTATGAGATTTTTCTTTACATATACAGTATTAAGATACACGTGAAGGTTTACAGAATCATTAATAACGCCCTATTTTATGTAAAGGATCTAAAATTCGAGGGACGTTTTAATGTCGATGCAGATTCCAAGATGTTGGTGGTCATTCTTACTGAAATTATATATTTATTAATAGTGGAGATAGATGACGTGGAGAAAATTAGTACGTTTAAAATTGGTTCTACATGGAAACGGAACATAAAAACTTTTGTGGTTGTCCAAGATTCAGAATTTTATAGGCCGCTTGACGATAGGCCTTCGCATTGATCATGTAATGAGCAAGGATTGAGTACCTATTGTAGTGAAATTGAATAGATTGTGGTTAAGATGCTTGCTTGCTAATCCCAGGGTATTGGATTCAATTCCTCTACGGTACTATTAGCAACACGACCAAAACTACAGCATTCCTCATAGTCGAGACTAGTCTTGTGGAGCATCGTGTGTGATGATAATAATAATAATAATAATAATAATAATAATAATAATAATAATAATTAATAATAATAATAATAATAAATAATAATAATAATAATAAATAATAATAATAATAATAATAATAATAATAATAATAATAATAATAATAATAATAATAATAAATAATAATAATAATAAATAATAATAATAATAATAATGATAATAATAATACAGTAATAATAATACTGTAATAAAAATAAAAGAACATATAGCGCTATATAAAAAAACCGAAGTGATTATCAATGACAATGGCGCTCCATGTTATTTTTTAATAAATGCGTTTCAAGTGATTTTAAAAATAAAGCAATTGATGTTGATTTGTTTTTTTATGTTAAGTGGTAATTCATTCCGTCTGCTGATTGTCGGTGGTCGTCTGAGCGGATCGTCATTAAAAACGATCAGTTACGAGAGAGTCTTCGCGTTTGATTCTTCATAGAATCGCGTCGGCCGACGACTGTCGAACGCAGTGCGTGCCTGGCTTCAGGCTAAATAAACAATAAAGTAAAAACAAAAATCTTTAAAGCAATGTTAACGTATATACCGTAACATTTATTAATGCGCTAACTTTATTTGATTACGGACGTGATTATTATTATTCCCGGTGATGCTTAAACAACAATATTAGTAAGTTATATTAGTTTCACTTTTCGTCTTAGTTTATGTATTTCTAAATAGTGTACGGTAACTATGCACAAAACGAACATGCAAAACGATACAATAGAAGATGCAATCCGAAGTGAAAAGACGCACATTCTTTGATGAAGCTATCCAGGCTCTTCGAATCTAATTCCATTGTTTTTCCAACAAATGTTGTCAATGCGGTCGCACTTGTTATTGTCTAGCCAAATGGAGATGCAACCAACACAAAACGCCGTTGCTAAAGCTGACATTTAGTAGAATAATTTAACCATATCTTTTTCTAACATAAAGGAATACAGCATGATAACCAAATCTATGAGAACATTATTAAGATATCCAATATTAAACTTAAAAAGCAATTGTCAATATAATACACAGATAATTAAAACTGGTCTGTAACTCTAAATTAAAATTGTTATCCATTAAGAAATATACCTATTCGAAAATGGAATAGTCGAATGTCCACTTTTGTATCATGAATTAAGTTGGAGCCAAAAAGAAAACCAAATACGAAGGGAAGCTCACCAAGAAAACATCAATCCGTAGAAGCTATAAGTTTGTAACGTACCATCACCGAATATATTGAATTATCAACATGGATCCAACTCCAATTGACATGTTCAATCGAGATCCAAACTCAATTAACTCGCATGTACAGGTACAGTATGTGATTTTTTTTAAGATGCTGTTTTTATTTTGTTATTGTTTTTCTAACTATTTACAAAATACAGTTTAGGCCTATTGTAGTTCAATTGTTTTTTTCCCCCCAAACTTTCCAAAATAGGCCTATATAGTTATTAGTGTGTATCGCCTAATTAGGCCTACTTGTTTTATATGAAACGAATTTCCATGTATTAAGATTTAATTATAATTAACATAATATGTGTGTGTAAATTTAGTGCAGAGGGGATTTAATTCGTTTGGCGTTGTGTTTCCACGGCCTAGGCAACACGTACCTACGTTATTGATCTGAATTCTTTTGATATGAAGCTGTCCGATAAAATAGTTCACCTCAGTGATGAACGAATTGAAACGTTATTTAAAAAAATAGTGTTTTCTTTGAACAGAGGACAGTTAACAACATTTCGAGTGAAATAAAAGTGAAGGTTTCAATTTTGCACCATCAACATCTCCAAGAAAATTTGATCGAGTTTATACAACACCGAGTAAATTGTCCTGGAAACTGTCTGAAATACCATTAAAAAAAACAAACAAAAAACAACAACAACAACAACTATTTCTAATGCTTGTAGAATTTAAAAAGAATCCTATCATTTGAATTCTTTATGTTTTGTTTCAAATTGTTTTCAAAATTACAATAGGCCTAATTAATAATAATAATGATAATGATAATAATAATTAATAATAATAAATAATAATAATAATAATAATAATAATAAATAATGATAATGATAATAATAATAATAATAATAATGAAGATTTTAATATATAACAATCAAGACGATGACGATAGTAATGATAATGAACAATAAAAGTGTATGTACAGTAGTTATATAATTATAACACGCCAAATAGTGAACTAATCTATGTGAAGAAGTTTTGTTAGAGTGGTTTTGGTGTCCACATTGTTTCATCTCTTATTGTGTGTGACTGTCACTCTCTTTACAATAGAAACTAATTGTTTTATCATAATTATACTGTTGTCTTTTTATCAGGTTGGATTTGAAGATGTGTTAGCCGAGCCTGATGGTGTCCACAGTCCAGAATGTGTGTGGAAGCTGGCCAACAAATGCTTCACTTGTTCAAGAGACATCGCCTACACTCTATTCGCACTCTGCTACGGGGTGCCTTACGCTTTCTTCTGGGGCTGCGAGTTCGCCTATCTTTCGTTCGCTCACATCTGGATCATCACCCCTGCCATCAGTATGTACATGGTGTGGCTGAAATCTATCAAGATCATCTATGGAGCATGCGTGAGGACCTGCTGTGACCCGTGCTTCGAGTCGTGTGGAAGAATATTGAGTGACGTCAGAGTAACACACGCTTAACATTGGTCCCGTTTCTGTTAAAACATGCAGCATTTATTACTACAATTATTTGTAGATGGAGATACGTTTAATTTATCATCTTCTTTTGTTTATAATATAATTGTTGATAGTTAAAAATGTGATTTTTATCATGCTATCAACAGAATCAACAAATTTTCTGATTTTACTCGACTGAGTTATACGATTATACTATTTTCATGTTTTTAGATATACAGACTTAATAATATAATAGGGTACCGTTGTAAAGCTATCTGTAAGCAATTAAAACATATTATGATAATTATAAAACAAAATAATATGTTTTTAGACACTCTACAATGTTATAGTAATTAAATGTCCGAGAGTAGCAATGAAACAAATAACACAATAGGTCTATTACTCTAGGAGGTTAAATAATAATTCTTTTAATAAATCAATGTTAAAGATTAGGGATACCAATTTATACATATCCGTAGTCTAAAATAAGAAATACAAACTTTACAAAACACAATCATTGGATATAATTATTTTTCTATTATATTCCCACACCAAATGTCATGTCTTCGAGTTTTGAGTTCAGACATCGAATAAAAAACATCGAAAATCAATGTTTGCTGCCTCGTCCTGTCTTTAATTTGTTGACTAATACAATTAACCTCCGAGACAAAGATACTTTTAAAATGTTTGAAATCTCGAGTGTCCACAACGCGCTGGAACATATTATTGCATCAGATGTGGCAACATTATTTTTCACACGCATTTGACACGCAATACTGTTGTTGGTGTCAAACAAATTATAAAAGATACCACTTTTTTTTGCATGTCTTATACCTTTTGGGTATTAACACCATTTCTTATGAGACACAAACCTTCCGGGTCGCAGAAGTTGTAGTTAGGTATGTAAGAAAATAACTGTAAAACAACTTTGCGGCAACATTACAACATTATTTAGTTGCATTATAAATACGTATTTATGGCTCTACATAAAAACATTGTGTACACTGCAAAATTATTATATCATAAAGCAAAACTGTTAACTGAGAATACAATTTATTGTTTGTTATGAACTCCGAATTTACTTAATAGCAATAATACCACGCAATATTCTAGTTAATTAGTTTGAAGTCTAAAACCCATTGAAGGTACAGGCTATCATGTCCTCAATTTATTAATATTACTGTATGTGGTTTGTTTATACACAATACAAATATACAGCTGAACCCCCTGTCTCTTATACACATCTAGATGTGTATAAGAGACAGGTCCAGAATGTGTGTGGAAGCTGGCCAACAAATGTTTCACTTGTTCAAGAGACATCGCCTACACTCTATTCGCACTCTGCTACGGGGTACCTTACGCTTTCTTCTGGGGCTGCGAGTTCGCCTATCTTTCGTTCGCTCATATCTGGATCATCACTCCTGCCATCAGTATGTACATGGTGTGGCTGAAATCTATCAAGATCATCTATGGAGCATGCGTGAGGACCTGCTGTGACCCGTGCTTCGAGTCATGTGGAAGAATATTGAGTGACGTCAGAGTAACACACGCTTAACATTGGTCCCGTTTCTGTTAAAACATGCAGCATTTATTACTACAATTATTTGTAGATGGAGATACGTTTAATTTATCATCTTTTGTTTATAATATAATTGTTGATAGTTAAAAATGTGATTTTTATCATGCTATCAACAGAATCAACTAATTTTCTGATTTTACTCGACTGAGTTATACGATTATACTATTTTCATGTTTTTAGATATACAGACTTAATAATATAATAGGGTACCGTTGTAAAGCTATCTGTAAGCAATTAAAACATATTATGATAATTATAAAACAAAATAATATGTTTTTAGACACTCTACAATGTTATAGTAATTAAATGTCCGAGAGTAGCAATAAAATAAATAACACAATAGGTCTATTACTCTAGGAGGTTAAATAATAATTCTTTTAATAAATCAATGTTAAAGATTAGGGATACCAATTTATACATATCCGTAGTCTAAAATAAGAAATACAAACTTTACAAAACACAATCATTGGATATAATTATTTTTCTATTATATTCCCACACCAAATGTCATGTCTTCGAGTTTTGAGTTCAGACATCGAATAAAAAACATCGAAAATCAATGTTTGCTGCCTCGTCCTGTCTTTAATTTGTTGACTAATACAATTAACCTCCGAGACAAAGATACTTTTAAAATGTTTGAAATCTCGAGTGTCCACAACGCGCTGGAACATATTATTGCATCAGATGTGGCAACATTATT